GTTCCGGGCCGTTTTTGGTTTTAAAAAATGTAGTTTAAAATGGGCTTCCAGGGCGTTTGCATGCGCTTTTGATGCGTTTGCATGCGTTCCAGAGCAGGTAAAATAGGGCCTGCTGCTGTTTTTTTACCTGCTCTGGAACGGAACGCTGCGGTGTGAACTGGAGCTAAAAATACCATTGGAATGCATTGGACGCAGTTTTGCTCCGGTCTGTAACTGCTCTGCTCCTGGAACGCGCTTGGTGTGAACAAGGCCTTAGAGAGCTCTTTTGATCTTGACATGATGACACCATACACGCTAATAGAAAAGAGAACATCAGACCCTAGATATCTGAAGTTCAAATAAGACAGGTTTCAAGAGCTGCACACTCCTTAAAGCGGATCTTTACCCATAATCTTTAAAATAACAAACACACCTTTAGAAATGTTTAGTGATGACAATCTTCAAACACATACTTCTAGATAATTGCCGGACTTGTATCTTTGTATACCTTACTTCTCTTTTCTTCCCCAGTCTTCTGACAGTGGCCATGTTTACTAAGGGCAGATTACTAGCTCTCCTTTTACTTCCTGGATTTATGGCACATTTGACTACACATGTGACCATGCACATCATCTCAGGGGAGAAAATGCCTTTTGCTGAGATCTCATGAGATGACAGATGAGATTTCCCAGCAGTGCTCTGTTGATGACTAAGTAATTAAGTCATTTTGCCCTTTCAAAGCAGGAAGTGAATGCTCTGCAAGTGTAAGTATTTCATAATCACAGCATTTTACACCTGACATGTCTATGTTATTATTAATCATCATTCATAGAGGGATGCATTGATAGAGTTTGATTTTTGAGTGTAAGGCCTCATTCACACAGCTTAGAGACGGCAAGTACAGATCCGTGCGGCATGCATGGCCGTATCTGGCCGTTACCAGGCTGTATGCTCACCCGAGCTGCACATCCGTGCGGGTGTCCGTACTCGGACGCAGACAGAATGGATCCTGTCTGCGTCAGAGCATGGACACCCGCACGGATCTGTACAGGTCGTCTCTGAGCTGTGTGAATGAGGCCTTAAGGTCCGGTTTAACCACTTCAGGGCTGCAACACATCTGTAGACGGTGACCCGCAGAAATGGTTAAAACAAGCACACGGCTGCTGCAGCAGCCGTGTTCCTGGTATCGTTTTTAACAGCCAGCGATGGCTGTTAATGTACAAGTGATCCGGCAGCTGTATAGATCCTGCCATCGTCGGCTTCCGCGGGCACAACGGCTGTCCCTATGCGGTCACCCCGCAACGATCGGAGAGAGATTCAGCAGCTTCCAGCCGCTGATCTCTCCTCCAATCACTGGACCTGGAAGTGATGTGTATTGCATCACTTCCGGTGTCACTATTTACAGTCTCCGGCTCTTAGAGCCAGGAGAAGAAGCTGGGGAAGCAGATCTCTGCTTCCTCAGCTTCTTTGGGGTCCTTACGTGACATTACGGGTCTGAAAGACCCCTGATGTCTATATAAAAAGGGAAAAAACAAGGAGTGAAGAAGCGCCACTACCAAGTGGTGATTTGTCAAAAACAGATAAGGGTATCATACTTACCAAGTAGTGGGTACTTACGCCAGTACCCACTACTTGGTAAGTTTGATACCCTTATCTGTCTTTGACAAATCACCACTTGGTAGTGGCGCTTCTTCACTCCTTATCTGTTTTTGACAAATCACCACTTGATAGTGGCGCTTCTTCACTCCTTGTTTTTTCCCACTTACCAAACGTCGGACACCCCGGTCCGTATTTCTAAGAAGCCGCACACCAAGCGCTCCAACCCTTACTCCCACACCCTCACCTCAGTGCTAGCGCTGCACCAGGGGACATTTCTCCCAAATTTGTCTATATAAAGAGGACCTGTCACACCCTATCTGCTATTACATAGGGTGCTTGTTAGCCCCCTATGTGATAGCAATAAGGTTACTGTAAAAAAAAGTTGGAAAAAATGTAAGTCACATATAAGAATTTTTTTTAATTTATTTTTTTTAAATGTTAACGTCCCCCACCCCCCATGTGCACGCACATACACACGCAAACACGCGTCAGTGCGTCTACGTGTTAAAACGACAATTGCGCTACACATGTTACATATCGTCGCGTACGTCAGAGTGAGAGCAGTAATTCTGTCAATCACTGTTAGCACTAAACTGATGAGTAGTAAAAGCGTTTAAAGTGTTCCCTATGGGAATTTTTGGGTAAGTTTTTTTGCGGCTTCATGGGCGAACGCAATTTTAAGGCTTGACATGTTTGGTATCTAATTACCCGGCGTGACCCCATCTTTCATATTTTACCAAAAAATGGGTATTATATTCTCTTTCTGTGCACTAAATTTTAATTTAGTTTATTTTATCCTAAAAATAATGGTTTGATAAACATTTGCGCAAATACCGTGCGACATAAAAAATTGTAACTAGCATCTTTTTATTCTACAGGACCTCTGCTTTCAGGAAATAAAGCATTGTTTGGGGTCTGGAACTCTTTTCTAGCCAAAAAGTAACATTTTATCATGTGTACACAAATAGTAATAGATTGCTCCGGACAGCAAGTGGTTAAGGAGGTTTTAATCATTTGCATCTAAACGGGAAGACCTGATTCTAATTTTATGGATTTGAATTGGTATTAATTGGTGTACTTTTTCAACATGACAAATCTGCATTTTCATTGTTTAGATTGTGAGAATGAATACACCATGTCATTTTTATGTGTCATTTGTTCAAGTACCTCACCTTTATCTGTGGCATTGTATGAATGATAATCGAATGTTTGCCTATTCAAATATGTTGAATAAAATCAACAATTTCCATGCAGTGTACTTAAATTTTTACATGTTTCACATGAGTGTACCTTGAGATTTTTCCGTGCCTGTTGCATTCTCCAATTTATAAAGCAGAATATAAATCCGAGGTGGAGAGTGGGAATTTAGGACTGGGAGATGAAATGCAGATCTCCCACCACGTATCATTAAATTTAAGGAAAATAGGATTTTTGTACTCACCGTAAAATCCTTTTCTCTCCGTTCATTGAAGGACACAGGCAACAGATCGCGAACCACATTCAAACAGTGGAGCGCACGCTCCTTCCTATGAACCGGCTTTGGACACAGGGAAGGTAAGACAAAGTCCTCATTCAGATGTAATGCCGACACAACCTTCGGTAGGAACGCCGACCGAGGACGGAGAGCCGCCTCGTCCCGATGCAAAACCAGCATTGGGGACTTGCAGGACAACGCAGCCAACTCCGACACCCGCCGAACGGAAGTGATGGCCACCAAAAAGGCCACTTTCTGTGCGCTAGGCAAAAAACTGGAGACTTGTCAGCAGGTGAGGGGTTTGGCCACCGGCAGGGGCCGCCCCTAGGCTGTAATTGGTCTTTAGTTTTGTGCCTAGCGTCCTTCTCCTGCAGGTGGCGATATTACCCTACCATTCAGGATCTACGATCTGTTGCCTGTGTCCTTCAATGAACGGGAGAGAAAACAGAACATTACAGAGTTTTGTAAGACGAGACTGCTGAACTCTGCGAAAGAACATGTTCAAGTAAAGCATTTTTTTAAATGTACTTTTTGTTTGGAGTGGGCCAAGTTTTATTCTGTCTTTGATCACAGTGGGGAAACCTCCCACCTTCAGATTTACTGTGACATTTACAGTGATGCTGTGAGCTGAACGTTATGTTTTCTTTTCCTAAACTGCATTGCCTAGCACTATGTTATGCAATGGTATGGTACCAATTATGGTGTAACTTGTGAGTGTTTGACAAAGCACATCACCTGTGCGATTAGTCTCTATAGAAAGCACCTTTTGCCTGATTGGGGGTAAAAGTTCCATGGCATTGACTTCACAGCCCTAGAAATAGTATATCAAGGACAGAAAACAGTAGAGCGCCAGACCAAAGCGGATTTTAGCGTCCATAAAATTGTTTAATAATTGTTTTGGTACAGAAGCCGGAGAGAAGCTGGTGACGCAGATCTGTGCTTTATCAGCTTCTCTGGGGGTCCCTAGGTGACATTAGGGGTCTCAGAGACCCCTGATGTCTCCATAAAGGGGACCTGTCACTGTAATTTGATATCACATTGGGGAATTCTTATCTCCCTATGTGATAACAATTAAGTTAAGTGTAAAAAAATAAAAAATTTTAAAGCCCCCACCCCGACATAGTTGTGCAAAAATGCGTAAGGTGCGCCTACACACAAACACGATGATTGCACCAATTACGCAGCACTTGTTACATATCATTGAGTATGAGCAATAATTTTAGGGCATGAATCACTGTTAACACTAAATTGATGAGCGTTAAAATCTTTAAAGTAACGCAGTGCTGAATACTGAAAAATGGCCTGGCCAGGAAGGGGGTGTAAACACCCCGGTCAGCAAGTGGTTAAATCCTGTAAATTCTTTTCTTCTCGGACATGGGTCACAAGACCAGTCCTGACAAAGTTGTTTCGAGGCCTGAAGTTCAGGCATTGCCAGCAAATCAGAGGCCCTGCCTGGACAGTTCCCCTCCCTTTAATCAGAGACCACATGACCAGTGCCATGGCACTGTGTCCTGCACCAGAGGAGAGCATGGTTTACAATACTAAAGAAGGCAAGAAGTAGGACATTTTTCCTACTATGATACTTTAGAGGAGTAATTTTAATAGATCAAACTTATGTGGGTGTTATAGATCCACTTTCACGTAAAGCAGAATAAACAAGAAAATACCTTCTTTCAGTACAGCTTCATTTAGAATCTTTCTCTTTATTTTAATTTCTGTTACATCAAGTTTGTAAAAAGAGCGGTTGTCACATGCAGATACATCAATCTTATTCACAGTAATTTGGCAACACTTGACAAACAACCAGCAGATACAACTTCAATATCACTAACAACATGCAAAGTTTCCTGTTTGGCTGCATTTTGACCCTCTATTAGAGATTATTGTTCTCTATAATTAATCTACAGTTATTGTGAACTCACAAAGTTGTGTTTATTTTTCCATCTAGTTTATTGTTCACCAAAACAAAACTGGAGTGGAAGCACAAAGGACCCGAGGAGGCTCTGATAACCTGCCGCCATATGTTATACCTGTGGCAGAAACTGTTTAACTATTCACAACTCAGGTAATTTTCATCTGCTGTTGGCAATTACTTTCCGACAGACTGAAAACCAGGTCAGAAGAAATCTTAGAATGTGGAACGTGAGCCTGTCATTAAAAATCTTACTTCAAGGAGAATTAGCAGTTTACATGTTAGCTTTGTCAAACTACATCAATACTGTTTTTGGAGTTTAAAAAAGTGCCTTCTTCATGCCATGCTGAGCTTGTTCATTAAACCTACTGCCCAAGCTACAATCAAATGGTCTCTTCTTGGTAAATGTACTTCTGTGACCCAAAATAGAACTAAAACCAAAAAACATTTGTCTTTAGTTGTCTTTTAAAAGTCCCATGCAGGCTTATTTTTAATGTGTTGCAAGAGAAGAAAATAGTCTGTGCAAACCAGATGATGGTAGCAGAGGGGAATTACTTTGGGCCCCAAAGATTGTGTACCTACAAGTTCCAGTGATGGATATCCAGTCCTGAATTTCAGTTAATTGTAACGCTTGTTATTTCACAGAGAAGGCTGTTAAGATCTTATTCATCATTACCCTTATAACGGAACACTGTTATGATTGATCTATATTGCTGTTTATGTTGTTCTAGTGACAGTGAAAAAGAAAGCAGTCTAGCTGATGTTCCCCTGACAAGAAAACACAGTGCGATGCACCTTGCTCTTCCAGAAGGTCATGACCAGGAGAATGGTAAGAACATTTATGAGGAGAGGATGCATATGTCAAAATAGATGCAGGAAAATAGCATTGACCACAGCAACCAGACAGCATTAATTGACTGATTCCTTGCAGCACTTTTCACTTCTTCCAGCTTAAAAAACACTACTAAGGATGTTTATACAACACACATACTGAAACTTTGGCACGTGAGCAGCCATACTGTGCTGCTACAAAAAGAGCCAAAACAACATATAAGTTTGTCAGGGAGTGTAAGGGATGCTACATGGTGGTCAGGGTGGATGAAATTCCTGCCTTCCATGGTTGATAATATGAGCCCCTCTATAAAGGTTTAGATCCAGAAGGGTGCTTAACGTTTTAATGGATGTGGCTTGGGTTTTAACTAAGGTTAGGTGTACAGGCGGCCCAAGCTCCATCTGCCCTGATACCCTAAATTATTTCCAGAGCAGCCTCCCCCCATTTATTGCTTTTTAGGGTTTAATAAACCATATAAACAGAGTTCCCAGGTTCAACACTTATGCCTGCCTCTCTTGCTGAGCACAGTGGAAAGGATAATGTTCTATTCAGATTCTTTCCCCTGCACCAGCTACCGTGTTTCCCCGAAAGTAAGACATCCTCCGAAAATAAGACCTAGCGCTATCTTCGGGGATGTCTGTAATATAAGACCTACCCCGAAAATAAGACCTAGCGCTATCTTCGGGGATGTCTGTAATATAAGACCTACCCCGAAAATAAGACCTAGCGCTATCTTCGGGGATGTCTGTAATATAAGACCTACCCCGAAAATAAGACCTAGCGCTATCTTCGGGGATGTCTGTAATATAAGACCTACCCCGAAAATAAGACCTAGCGCTATCTTCGGGGATGTCTGTAATATAAGACCTACCCCGAAAATAAGACCTAGTGTCTTATTTCGTGCAAAAAAAAATAAGACACTGTCTTATTTTCGGGGAAACACGGTAATTGGCAGTGTACACTTTAAATGCTTTTCTTGAAGGTTTCAGTAAGAGGGCTGCCATTGGGGCTGCTGTAGATGTGGCTAGGGTCGCAGAGCTTGAGTTATCCCCAATACCCCTTGTATACCTAGCCTTATTGATATTGGTACCTTCAGAGGACATGATGCCAGTGGTGTTGTGAGTGAGGATTAAGCTGGAGTGAATGGCATAGGGTATGTTAAAGTGAACCTGAACCTTTACCTGTCCCCTGGAATTCCGCCCAAGTCTAGATAAGCAACGTCATCCAGACCTGCACGTTTTCACCCCAAGTGCAGGTCTGTACGGGTGTGGGTGTCTCGGTTTGGACGAGACACCCACACCTGTCAGGTTTTTATTGCTGTCTGCCTCTCCATTGGAGAGTTCACTCCCTCAATTTCTCCTGGTGGCCACTGTTACAGAAAGTGTGAAAAAAAATCCACAATTTTGAGTTGTCACCAAAACAATAATAGAGGGTAAATCATCCAATGGGTACTTGCTCTGGTGGCAACGGTCCAAGAGAGGATTTCCCTTCAAAATGGAGAAATTTCATGTCAATTTTAGCTCTTTCTACAGGACAGGAAGTAATGGAAAAGCTCTCAAGTGAGACACAGATGACAAAAAACCTGAAAACTTTTTTAACCATTGTCAACTCTATTCAAAAAATATTGACTTTAGATGTAAAGGTTTAATCTTGACTTGGGCAGAAGTTGAGGCTTCCTGTTCATCTTGGGCCTAGAGTCCTAAAAGGCACAAGGATATATTTGATTTGACTACAATGTGCAGTACTTAACCAAATTTGCTTCATCCCAGGTGCATCAAAACAATAGGTGTTCAAAGCCTGCCAGTACCCTTGCTCTTTAGGTGGAAGCAGTTCTGACATGTCTCCTCCTGAGTCAGAATTTGAGCACTCCAATCAGCAGAGAGCATGAGCTTTATAGATTGCACAGCTATATGTCTGAAGCAGCAGGGGGTGTGTTGGATATCTGCAGAGAGACCACTTCTTCCACACATAGAGCAGTGGGCCTTTTCAGAATTTTTTTACTCCCACCATGGCTGCTTTCTAAAGAAAACAAACTGTAGGTCTTTGCTCAGCTTCTGTTTTGATGCATTTGGTGTGTATTGTTTACCACAGAAGGGCCTGGAAGACTCAACTGTAGGAGAAGTTTAAGATGTGGTCCTGGTCTGACGAGAGTGTCAGCCTGTAAATTGGGTGCCTTCAGCATCTACCATGTTTGGCAAACGTACCTGTGTTTTCAGCACTGTGAAGTTTTACTTATTGTGGTTGTAGATTGTTTTTGTTGTTCCTAAGGTCATGTTTCCAATACCGTTTGCATTGACAGCCTTTGGAAAATGCCTTCACCATGGAAGGTCATTGAATGGCTTTCATGGAAAGTATTTAAATTTTGAACATGACCTGTGATGGATAACGTTACTTAATACACCTGATATTAATAATTAAACAATCAAAGCAGTTTAATAATGAGCAAGACCAAGGGTTATTATTTGGGGGCTGATGGATAGTAATTGAAAACCATACTTCATTATTTATATTTATATCATTCACACATTAAGGCCTGGTATGTTTGTAAGCAGCTTTTCTTTCTGCACTTTTACAGTCACACACATTTGAATTAAAAGGTAATTTGTCTTGGTGTGCAGCAGCTGAATTCAGCGGGCTACAGGAACAGTGGCTGTTTGGTTGACACCCTTGCCCTGAAGCAGTGCGGTCCTGGGTTTACTTTCCATAGTCCAATCTATCTGCATGGATTTCATATGTCCTTACACGTTTATATGGGTTTTCTTCTACAATCCAAAAGCATACGGGTAGAGTAATGTGTGACATTGGACTATAAGCTTATTTAGAGACTGATGCAAGGTGATCATTGCTGTCTGGCAAGCAATACAGAATATATTTTTTACATTCGTAAATATTGTTAGTTTGAGACTGAACTCCAAGCAGATGTAAAGGCACATATTAATACTGCTCTGTGGTCCTTAATACTTCATTACATTTTTTTATTTTGTTTTTCTTCATTTGCAAGCAGTGCAGATACCTGTATTTGACCTGGTATCAGCCTCTTGCAGCCTAAGCTACAGTCTGTACAGCAGAGCTCAGAGTGGGTGAGGGCAAAGAAGCACAAGCAGCCAGTCAGGTGTCCTGAAGTTCAAGTAGCATGGTAATAGAAGGAGAGAGCAGAGTGACAGGGAGATGAGCTCATCGGTCTGCTGCTTCTCCTTTCACTGTCAAGTCACAGGATGGGGGCGGAGGGGAGACCTGTAATTGAAAGCGAACTTGCAGCAGAGAAAGTTTAGGTCTCCTCCCCTGCTACACAGGGCTCTGCTGAGGGGCAATGCTTTGCAAGTCTCAGGACTGGATGGACAGAAATACAAATCCTTTAGCAGGTAAAAATGTTCTTATATATGTATTTAATCTGTGTAATTTTTTCGTTTGCCTAAAGCGCTGCTTTAAAAGTGTCACTTTGGTGACCCTCATCTTTAAAAACAATGTTTGATAATGAAGTTCACAGCATTTTCCCTTTTGTTTGAATCAAGCATAGTATTGTTCTTTCATAATTAAGGGTTGTCTTGGGATTCACCGTGGGTGATTTTGGGGAGTGGCTATTGGCTTATTATTGTGGGATTGCTATTGCATAAAATACATTGGAAGAACAAGCACTTCTGCTGTGGTGTACAGAGCTCTAGAAACCCAAAATGTTAAAATGGATGTTCCCGTGATGAATGTGCAAGCACCAGACTTGATTTCTCATGAGCGATCTCTGATAATGGCACTTTATTGCATGAGCTTGTATGATGTCAGCTTACCAATGTTCCTGAGTGTTTAGTGTCCTGTCTAATTTGTCCTAGTGAATTGTAATGGTGTTCAGGAATAACCTTGGCACATATTTCAACACCACATTTCATATTTCTAATTTAATGCCTTCTGTAATTAAAACGAATGTTATATTGAGCATAAGACTTTCAAAGAATGACTTACACAAGGAGAAGTTCACAAGGAGTTGTGATTAGAATGAGATTTTTCTATTCTTGGCTTTTTTTTTAACAAGATCTAATTTTGCCAAAATTAATGAAGCCGAATCAAGGGCGTTTGCCCCAGGCTTGTAAGTTTTTTTGAGATGGAGATATATTTTAAAGTATATGTAAAATCCTCATAAAAAATAACTTATTGTATGGGCTTTGTGTGAGCTGAATGATTGCTGCGTTCTTTTAGGCCTCATTCACACGAGAATAAGCTTACACGTACAGCTCCGTGCTGCGTGCACGGCCGTATCGGGCAGCTCCCGGGAAGGACAGGTGTTGTGTGTGATTAATACGCAGCCCCTGTCCTTCTCTATGGGAAGACGCACCCATATGCCGCCCTACGCTCACCCGCCCTGCACGTCCGTGCGGGTGTCCGTAGTCGTACACTGACAGGATGGATCATGTCTGCGTCCGAGCCGAGACACCCACACCCGTACAGACCTGCACTTGGGGTGAGCGTATTGCGGCGTATGGCCGCGTACTTCCATAGAGAAGGACAGGGGCTGTGTACTAATCACACACAGCACTTGTCCTTCCTGGGAGCTGCCCGATACAGTGGTGCACGCAGTACGGATCTATACGTGCCGGCCTTTTCTCGTGTGAATGAGGCCTTAAGCATTGCCAAAACTGACATTTCACTTAGTTACATAGTTGGCCAGGTTAAAAAAAAAGTCCATCGAGTTCAACCTATAGAGATAAGAGAACGAAAGAAAACGAAAAAAGAAAAACCTAAAACAGAATGCTATGTCCACAGTTACTCACTCTTTCAAAATAATCCTGCCATGCACTGCGCTACCACTCTGTGTGCGATTTCTGCTCCGCCAGCTATGATGTAGCCAGGCAGCTTACAGCCAATTGTAAGCACACATAAATAGATTCACTCACTAGGTCATTGACTAGACTCCATCCCAACAGTAAACATGTAATAAAAAGTTTATTTGCAGTCTTGTAGTAGCCTTAGGAAGTCTGCAATGTTCCTTGGAGCTCTGTGTATAGTATCAAGGAAAACTCAAATTAATGAATGAATTAAGTAATATAGCATAAACAATTGCTACACAAGCAGCTGCTGTAATGTCTAAATCTGTTAAAAATGTTGTGCAATATGGCAATCTGGAGGTGTTCCCAACATTCTTGGTGTATGGAATGTCCCCAAAAAATTTAGTTTCCTGCTTTAAGGCTCATGCACAGAGCCGACGGGGGCCATACAGTGTAAATTCAGGCGTACCATGTTTAGCAATGCAACACACCACTATGTTTGTTAGCGCATTGCCGTGTGTTGTGGTGCCATTTAGTATGAATGGCTCCACAGTGCACCAGCATGCACAATGTGTGTTGCTGCAACCCTACTGCGTGAATCAGGCCTTAAAGTGCTTTTCCACTTTGCTGTCAAATTTTAAGAAACCCCCTCTACATGACATGCTGCATTCTTCTGCAGTGCACTGGATGCCACAGCAGGTCCCCGCACTGCAGGGCAGCCCACCGCACTGCTGTGTGGGGACCGGAATGAATGTACACTTTGTACACTTCACATAAAGTTAATACAAATGTACACAATGACAACACACTGCCGAAGCTGTCACAACGCAGAGTGTTTTAGCGGACGGGCTAATGTGAATGGGCCCTAAAAGTAACACAAACATTTTTTTTTGCTTTAGGTATAGGTAGGGCTTGAAAAATTTGATAGTGTCTCACCAGTCAGTCAAAAATTTCACCAGTCAGCATGACCGGACTATAGCCTTGCAATTTATGTTAAAAAATGTTGGGGACAGATAGAGCTTTCTTTTGGAGGTATATAATCACTATAATCACCACGGGG